ACATGCGAACTGCGTCATTGGGACCTTCGGTGGAGCTACCTACGGAGCCACGAAATGCGTGAGAGGTGTGCCGAAACAGGCGTGACGCCCACATGCGAACTGCACCGCGGAGACCTTCGTTGGAGCTCCCTATGGGGCCACGAAGCGTGAGAGGGGTGTGCCGAAATTGTCGCGACGCCCACATGCGAACTGCACCACTGACACCTTCGGTGGACCTCCCTATGAGGACCACGAAACGTATGAGGGGTGTGCCGAAACGGGCGTGGCGCTCACATGCGAACTGCAGCAATGGGACCTTCGGTGGAGCTCCCTATGGGGCCACAAAACGTGTGAGGGGTGTGCCGAGACGGGCGTGACGCCCACATGCGAATTGCTTATGTGACCTTCGGTGGAGCTCCCTAGGGATGGGGCCACGAAACGCGTGATGGGTGTGCCGAAACGGGCGCGACGCCCACATGCGAAATGCACCATTTATGGGGCCACGAAACGTGTTAGGGGTGTGCCGAAATTGTCGCGACGCCCACATGCGAACAGCAGTCATGGGACCTTCGGTGGAGCTCCCTCCCTACGGGGCCACGAAACGTGTTAGGGGTGTGCCGAAACGGGCGCGACGCCCACATGCGAAGTGCACTACTGAGGCCTTCGGTGGAGCTCCTTATGGGGCCACGAAACGTGTTAGGGGTGCGCCGCAATAGAGACGATGCAGGGATGAGAGGAGGGAGAGGAGGGGAGAGCAGGAGGGGAGGAGGACGCGGGGCGCTGTCCCTTCAAAACGAGGACCCAGCACCACAGGATGGTTCGGAAAAAAGGGGAAGCGAGGCAAGGGCAGCGGTATGGATACCTTTTCCTCCTCCGATGTTTTGGGGATCTTGGACGGTTTCGTTTTGGCGGCGCGCACAGGGGGGTAGGAGGAGGGGGGAAGGCTTCTTAGAAGCACCCCTGCTACTTAGAAGGCAGGGGCCTTGTCTGTAGATGTAAGGTCGGCGCCTTCTAAGAAGCAGCCTCCTTCTAAGAAGCCTTTCCCCCCCTACCCCTACCCCCTTGTGTGCGCCGCCACCTGTTCCTCCTCGGACTTTTGGGGGATCTTCCTTTGCCTCGGGATGCCTTCCAGCAGCTGCACCTTGTCAAGAGCGTTTGCCAGGGGTGCCCAGATATGTCCCAATCGGCCACGGGGAGCCCGAGTTGTAGCCAGATCTCCACCCGCCACGAAAGGGTCGCGACGGGGGGTCTTTGGCTGTTTTCGGCATCTGCAGGGGTACGTTGCCGGGCCCGCTAGGCGGCAAAAGACGGCTTGGGATGAAAAAGCGGTCCCTGGGAATGGGTCCGGACCTTTTATGCAGCTACATTGCGAACAAAAGCACGACGTCGGATGCCTTCGGGCGGCGGGGGTGACGAAGCACCAGTCAACGGCGCCCATGTCGATCTGATCGGACCACCTCGATATCGATTCTGGCCGCTCCGATCAAGTTCGGTGCCAGACGCCCAGGGTTGCTGCTTACCCCGCCGCCTGATCCGCGGCCCCCGCGCGCGCCCGGGAATTCGTTACGGCCGCAGCCCGACCGTGACTGCTCGCCGCCGGCGCTTCCGCCTGCGGCTGTATAAAAAACAAAAAAAAAATCAAGTTCGGTGCCGATGTTTCGGCGATCCGGCTCGATTCCGACTTCGTGCCGGTGCGGCCCGACCCCTGCTCCACCCCGTGTGCCGCGCTGGCGGCCGGCGCAAGCCGCGGCGTAAGATCGCGGTTCCATCGTGCGCAAACGGCCCATGTCTCTTCGTCGCCCAGGTCCTCCTCCTCCTCCTCCTCCTCCTCCTCCTCCTCCTCCTCCTCCCTCCTCCTCCTCCTCCTCCGCCTCCCTCCTCCTCCTCCCACGGAGGGCGGGGGCTCGGAGGAGGCGCGCGCGACAGGGGGTGGCGGGCGGGCCCCAGAGAGCACGCTGCCAGAAAGCTGGCGCCGGGCAGCAGACGGGGGGCAGGACGGGCAGAGCGCTCCTGC